CCGAATGCTGCCATTGTAATATGGATACTGGTAAGATTTTACTTACCTACATTTCATCATCCCCCCTACCTTATTCTACTCCCGTAGGGTTGACGCAGTCAACCATCTGTCATCTCAGTCATCACTCCCATCTTGATCATATCACTTTACATGCAATCCCTCCACCTCTTTCTAGTCCGACCTCCGACCGATGTACCACTTTCACACTTATTTGTACTTTGTATCGGTACATTTGTATTTGTATCGGTTTTTGACTTTTAGATAACTTTGAGAACCAATGAGTTACTAGTTTTTGACATCGAAGTGACATCTGAGAAAATGTGATCTGAGCAAATTGAATGAAATAGGACGATTGAGGTCACTTGTCTCAAGCTAACTCCGGTCACATTATAGCCGCATGAAAATGGTCATAATTCTATTTAATTTTTTAGCTTAATGGTTGATTATTTATGAGTTAATATTTTTATCGCGTTATAACAAGTAGAAACGTTTAAAAAATACACGCATATTCCCTATTGTAAAAGAATGTACTTACCTGTGTATAACTGTTATGGTTCTATTTACTAGTTACTGCAGAAATATTTTTAAAGTGTATTCGATCAGGTGAGTGTATAAACTCGTCGGTGGCGGGCAAGCGGCGCATCGCGGAGTGGGGCGCGCTGCAGGCGGCGCGCGCGCCGGCGCCGAGCGCGGCCGCCGTCGCCCTCACGGTGTGCGCCGCCGCCGCCGCCGTCTTTCTCGCCGTGCTTTTTGTATTACAGGTACGTACTTTGCAGGGAAAACTAACAGCGGAGAAGACGTTGGAAGGGGAAATGACCCCAGTCTGTGCGTAAACGGTAGCCAAAGTATCTGTAAATGAGTCTATAGGCAAAGGTCAACCTAGGGGCCGTTTACTCGTTAGGCAACTTGTAATCTATTCTAATATTATAAAGAGGAAAGATTTGTATTTTTGTACGTGTTGAAATAACTCAAAAACTACTTGGACGATTTTTAAAAATCTTACACCATCAGAAAGGTAATTTGTCTGTGAGTAACATAGGCCTTTTTAATATATTTTTTAATTTCACGCAGACGAAGCCGCACGCAACAGCTAGCGTTCAAATAAATCATAATTGAGTTTCATTGTACATAATCTAACAAAGTCTTATGTTAATTATAAATAAAATAGACTAATAAAACACAAATATAGATAAAACATGCTTATTTACATACAAAATGTAAATAAAAAAGATTACTCTTGTAGGTAATTTTTTTTTAAATAACCTATCGTGTGTAGCCTGCATTACACATGATTGGACACTTCTTTATTCATTCCATTAATGATGTAATTACGCAACTATGTTAAGTCTAACACGAGGAGAGAATTAAAAACTTGAAAATAAAACCCTTAGTCCAACTATCTTCTATTGTATTGCAAACTTGATTTAACTTTTTGAATAAATAAACCATTTGAATGTACCCGTAGATAGAAAAGGAGATAAATGTATTGCATATTTCACATCTTTACAATTCCTAGATTAACAATTTAACTCTAGTCTGAGTCAGTAAGCCAGCGGCAAGCCAGCTGTAAGCCATTGTTCGTCCATTGTCAAGAGAACTCTGTTGACGCGGGCTTTGTGGATCGCTTGATTAACTACAGCTAAATATCTAATGAACAAATGGAATTGTTTTTTTCGTTTGCAGTATTTTAGCTACGTAGTTATTTATTTTAATTATATTGTGGATTTTATTAAATTTAAAATGATTCTTACAATAAATTCAATCATTATGCAGTGTTATTTCTAATGTCTCTTAAATACTAGCTGTTACTCGCGACTTCGTCCATGTGAAATTGGAAATAAATAAATAGATTACCCATGTTACTAACCGATAAAGTACCTTAACGGTGAAAAAAAATTGAAATCGGTCTTGTAGTTTTTGAGTTACAAATAAATAAATAAAACACTATTTATTGACCAAAAGATCACAAAAAGAACACAATTTACAAAACAATTTAATGAAAAAAAAAAACAAAAAATGTCATGGCCAAAAGGAGAAGGCTCAGCTGATGCGGTCTTCAGCTTGTCACTGAAGACCGCGCTGGTTTTCAGCCTCATAATAGTTATCAATACATACAAAAATACAAATCTTTCCTCTTCATGATATTATTATAGATAATTTATAAAAAAAATACTATACTTTTAGATATAATATATACATCACGTCAACTTTTGTTCCAAATGTTCGTTAAACATATCGTAATATTGTTAATATTTATTTTAAAACTACCCCACAGATCCGGAGTGCAAATCGTCCAAAATCTACAAAGCGCGGAGTTATATACTCCCCGCTGGCGTGTAACGATGAAGGTGACGTCACAGTTCTGACCTCCCACACCTCGTTCCCCGTCGACCCGCCCGAGCAAGTCCGCGAGCATTTCCGCGAACATATCCGCGAGCACGAACACGAGCCTCTGCTCGAGCATTCCACATAACGCTGTGATCATAGACGTAAGTGACTTTAGACGCTCGTTGTTTAGTTCAATTTGGTGACTGGAGTTTTTGAAATACAGTAATTTTAAATAATAAACTATCTATTTAAAGAATAAAATGACATTTGAAATAATTGCAAAAGATTGATAGTAGATTTCTGCAATTCTGCAGTTTACTAAAAAAATTAGAAATGAAACCGACAATTACGTAGTAAAGAATATTGTTTTTAAAATAAGATTTTTAAATGTCCATGGTTCAATATTTTTAATTAAATTTGAACCATTATTTGTCAAGTTTGTAATGAAAATGTAGTCAAAGTCCACTTTATGATAGAAAATCTATCACCATATTGAATTAGACAAATGTAGACGATCACTTTCGGATGTGAAATAGGGACAATATGAAGCGCTCCGAAGTGATAGACGTAAGTTCAACGTTTTAGTGATATTTGGTCGCAATTTTCCTAGCTATTGAATATTTGAGGACCACGTTAAATCATAAATATGCATATTTTTTTGTAAATTCCATTGTTAATAGCAATTTGTTGGAGACTGATGATTGCTATATTTTAACATCAGGCGCATTAGACAGAAAATCTTTCCTTTCGTGTTTCTTTAAAAATGTATAGCATTATCAGTCTTCAAATCATTTGAAATATCACTTTACTGTGGTGTAGATATGAAAATATTAATTGTAATGTAACAAAATAAGTGTAAATTTTAAGATGAACAAAACGTTCTTATTTGATGTGAAAATGTGATATGAGCAAACTGATGAAGGATTGCTTTGAATCTTTTAAAATGAATTTGGCTTTTCAATTCTAATAGCTTTATCGATTTCAACTTAACGATATTTCCTCACTTTCCTTTTGGTTTAATGAAAATTTTATTTTTAAATTTATAAAGACTTGTATATGTAAGTCTTTAGACGATCTGATTTATTCTATTTCTCGTTTTAAACACTATTTTACTTCTGAAACCTCTAATATCTTTGAGCTATTGTTAAATTGTGAATCTCCGTCACAAATATCTATAAAAATATAATTTTAGCTAATAATAATATAGTTTAGGTTTCACAAGTTACCATAGACAGAATTTGTACAATTAATCGAATGATTTCAAAAACCAATAGATTTTAATTTAGTTATGTTTTATTTTAAGTAGAAAAGCTGTTATTTCGGCGTTTTAAACTTCGTCTTGTTTTCGTATCGCGCCGGATGTTTTACTTGTGTTTTAAGTAAAATTAGTTGTCAATATGTTAAATTTCATATTTTAGATATAGACAATTTTAAATTCTTTTATCTGGTTTGATGGATATCGTATTTTATTTCGATGTCTTTTTCATATGAATATGTATTCCAATTGTTACCATCACAAATGTATATATTAGCTAGATTGTTGAGTCGTTTATATGATATATAATAAATTGTATATCTCTATTGCATGTTTGCTAGTTTTGGCTATATTTCTGTCAATTGTCGTAAGTTAGATGTTTGAATGTTTTTTCTTTGTATTTAGTTTTGTACTTATTGTAAACTTTCTTGAAATCTGATATGGCGAGTGTTGGACCTCGATGGATGTTTTGAATGAATTTTAGCTTGCTACAAAATTTTTATTATATTTATGCAATTTCGATCTATCTGTATTGCGGTTTTATATTTTGTTTTAGTGGGAATCTTTTTAATTGAAAATGTATTTTTGTATAAAATGTTCTTACGTGCAATTAATATTTATAATAAAAGGAAGTCTGTGTCAAATGTGATGTTTTATTTTTTTATTTCCTTTTCTCAAATCTTATATATTCCGTGATTCTACTAAGAATATAAAGAGGATTGATTAGTATTATTGTATGTATTTCATTCACGTAAAAATTAATGGACCGATCTAATAAATTCTTTCACAATTACAAAGGTGATTTATCTGTTACATGAGGTGTTTTTTATTATTTTTTAAATTCACGCGTACGAAGTCGCGAGAAACAGCTAGTTATGTATATTCTAATAATATGAATACAATTTAATTTTCACACAAGACCCACTTTAAAGTCTTCTAATAGTTTGTAACTTAAAGTCCCCTTTGACCCTTCGCTGTTAGTTAATAATTATTCAATTTGTCCGTAGACTTCGTGAGGGTCGAATCGATCGTTAGTGACACGACTTAGATTGACATACGAAAACGACTTAATCATTAACTCAATCTTGTGTGTATTCAAAATAGACTATGTCTCACATTCACACTTAGAGTAATAATATATTTAGTATTGATATCCCAATAGGTTCACAATCCTACACAACCGCTTCGCTAGGCTGACGGGATACGACTGACACGAAGCAGGCACAAGAAAACACAGCGGCAGTCAATACACTATCTAACTACATAGTCAATTCACTACATGTACTTACAGATATTCCTCACATCTTCTTTAAAACAGAGACAAAATTATGATGTAAAGCAATTACAGTAGAATTTCATGGTAAGTGGTTACGAAAGGAAAAACTGGAATTAAAGTAGTCATTTTATAATTTACTGTACAACAGTACATGCTAAGATATTATATCATTATCACCAGCTCACTATACGTCCCCACCGAGGGGCTCAGAGCCTACCCTAATATATAATATAAAGATATATAATATTATGATAAATGTGAGAAATACATATGCTTTGCTTATCTTGAAAAAACAAAATATGCAACTGGAGAAATTAACTCTCATTTTTGTTTTGCACTTATGCATTTCGATATCGTAGATAAAGTGTAAAATGCAGAATAAATTCTAAATTAATAGTTTTCGCTGTACTTTAAATTACAGAGGGCTCATAGTTAACATTTGTAAAGGCAGCTCTTAAGGTAAGAGCCCTTCGTCAGTCGTCTCTGAACAGTTTCCGACGTGGCAAAACTCCAGGTCTTAATGTAGGTCAAGAACTTTAGATGTGTGATCTAATAAGTCAATATGAGAAAAAAAGACGTTTTTGGTTCTTAATATAATTTGACTAGTAATTCCAAGCAGTTAGAACTATATAGTTCTGTGTTGTGTAGCAATTTCGTACATTTTTTTTTCAGCTAGCATGTAAACAACATTTATACTGCCTCACATACTCATTAAGTTACTTTTGGTGCCGGAGGCCTAATTTTAGTCCCTTTTCCTTTCCACTCTTTTCTTAAGAGGAAAGGATAAGGAAAAGTGGATTTGATGGTAGAGGAGATGCATATGAAGGGGAAATGTTCTGTTATGTGCGTCTCCTCCTCCGTCAATTAAGGGTAGGCAACGCATCAGCTATTGCGGATGTTTATGGGCAGCGGTCGCTTTCCATTTCGGTGGATTCAGGCCGCTTGCACGTTTGCCACCTTATATTATAAAAAAAAAAGTATAAATCTACACTAAAGTAAGATCTGTCTGTAAACGTTAAATTGATTACTATTAAGAGCGGCATTTAACTTACTAATATTATAAATGCGAAAGTTTCGATGGATGGATGTTTGTTAAAATTTGTAGCCTAACGGTTCTCGATGAAATTTAGCATAGACGTAGAAGATAGTCTGGAAGAACACAGAGATTACTTACTTTTGTTTTTATTAAATTCTACGCGGACAAAGTCGCGGGCGAAAGCTAGTATTACATAAATATTAGGAGTAAATCCTAAAGGAGCAGTAGTTGCACTTTTATTGATTTGAACTTCAATTCTCGTAATTTCTTTGGTGGGATGTAGAAAAAAACAAAGTCTTTTAGCAATTTGCAATGCTCTAAGTAAAAAAGGTCGCAGGTAAGACCTAGTAAGAAGATTTAATTCCCTAATAGAGTTCAAGTCAAAGGTGCAGTATTAGGATTTGCATACCAAGACGATCTTTGAATAAAATATATGCTTTCAATCTATACGTATAATAAAATTGGAGTGTCTGTAATGTCAAAAGAAAAATTCCATATTACTGGATGACGATGTATTTGCGTTGCTGATAGCAAAAATCGCATTTAAAAAAATTATTGTCTGTCTGTCTGTCTGCAAGCCGCGTTCGTTCCGGGTAATCTCCGAAACGGCTGGGCCGATTGCTTGAAAGGTGACATGATCAAGAAGGGAGTGCTGACTGAGTTGACGTATATTTAAAAATTAGAATAGGACGTAGTGCTGTTTCGACTGAGAAAAGTTAAGCTAAGTTACCACTGAAAAGTAGTTTAGAAGAGCATAATAAAGATTGTATTTTGATTAGTTAGTTTCCACTTTCGTTAATCCAAAAGCTTTGAAATACCAGACGTTTTTACAAAGTTAATATTTACGTAGAGCATTAAAACTTTGTGTTGTTTTATTGCGCGAGGCACAGCGCTGTCTTTTATATCCTCGTTATCATTAAGTTGGATGAAATTTATTAAGAAATGAACAAACTTTCGCATATTTTTTGAAAAACTTTCTCAATACGCAGATGGGAACTTATAAACTTATTAAGTAGATTTGAAAACAAAGAGGAAATGTGTGATTACAATACTTTATTTATTTACTAGCTTTCGCTCGTGACTCCGTCCGCGTGGAATTAAAAAAACTAAAGTAGGTATCTTATGTGTTCTTCCAGATTATCCTCTACATCTATGCCAAATTTCATTGAGATCCGTTTAACCGCATAAGCATAAGCTACAAACTTTAAGAAACTTCCATACATCCATCTAAACTTTCGCATTTATAATATTTATAAGATAAAGTACGCCACCAGATAAGTTATTGAACAATCACATAATAAATTGCCACAAGAATGGATAATTAGAAAAAAAAGATTTAGTTCCTTTAGTTTTAAATTACTAACCCATTAAGAAAATTTGTTCTACTCATTGTATATTAGGTAAGGATTTCCACTAAGTTAAATCATTTACAAACTCTGAGTGGAGATAATTTATATTACTATATTATATATAGTATTCTCGTGGTTATCTAACTAGACTTTGTAAAACTGCAGCTATTCGCTACCTCAAAGAAATGCTGAGAGCTTTCCACGTGACGACTTTTGAGAATGTCTCCAACTAACTTCCTTGTTAAAAAAGACGTTTTAACGTAAAGGGGGAATAAAGAATTGAACTTCAAATTTAATCTTAAATATATAATTATTCATAAATAGTTGAGTAAAATAAAATAAAACCGTTAGACAAAGTTGTGAGCCGTTCGTTGCAATTGTTCAACAAATTTGTGGTTAGATGAATGTCGCGGCAATAAATGCCCAACAATATTGTCCTACGTCCAGCCTCGGTCTATTTATTTCCACCACAACAGATGTAACGCGACGTAAACGCGCATTAGTCGTGCGTCACTCAAACGCCGTTAGCAAAAACCGCGCGATATCGTTTTAGATTCGTGAACGGATTTATCTCGCGTGTAAACTTTTTTAGAGTTAATCTGCCAACTGTTAAAAACTCAGTTGTTCCGTGTTTAATTTTTGAGTTTTCTTTCCACTGAAAGCAATTCATGGTACAAAAAGTTCTATAATGTTTAAGTATTGTCAAATAGCCATGCAATGTCCCTTTGTCAGTCCCAGAATGTCCCTTTTCTTTAGTCGCTTATGTTTGTTTGTCTAAAACATATCTGTCATATATCATACTAATCATACTAATATTATAAATGTGAAAGTTTAGATGGATGGATGGATCGATGTTTGTTAAAGTTTGTAGCCTAAACGGCTTAAAGGATTTCAATAAAATTAGGTATAGAAGCAGAGAATAGTCTAGAAGAACATTAAAGCTACTCACTTTTGTTTTTTCTTTAATTCCACGCGGTCGGAGTCGTGGGCGAATGCTAGTTTGTCATAATAGTCAACTACGGCGGCTTCTGGCATCATTATGTATTGCTATTTAGGCGAGAATACTCATAATAATATACCAGTAAAATGAAATAGTAGCTGGTATAACAATAGAGGCAAGTACCAGTTACCAGCAAGAAATATTCACGATTTGTAAGAGACAAGGCGTGATTCCTTCCTCAACTTACATGGCGTGTACACATGTCTAACTGGCACTTGCCAGTGTGCCAGCTACTGGTATATGTATTCCAACCCATGTTAGAACAAGCTTGTTATAAAAACAGAGTAACTTATGACAAAGCCTTTATCTAACCGCGCGGTGTTTCGAAACAAATTCCTATTGCACATGCAAATTATTTTAAATTGGATACCGTAGCGATAGTTTTCATGTCTTGAAAAGCTTACATATGCTTTTCTATTTTGTACATTAATTCAATGTTACAGAGTTTAAAGTCGTGTGCATGTGTAGCGTTCATTGGCGGTTTGTTGAACGCTCCTGTGCCGTCAGTTATTTCGCGCTACAGGATGAAAGTGGAATACCAATTGGTTTGACGCAAAAATATTTATACATTCCTGGATGT